CCCTTTATGCCAGTAAACCAGCAATCCTGGATAGCAAACCCCACATTGCCGAGCTACCTCGGTGGACAGAAGGGGGTGGCCAGTATCCACCACAAAGCATACCTCCTTCGGCCCCCACCCCCCGGGAAACCGAAAAGGGGGCTTTCCCGTACACACCCCTCGCCCGAAAAATACCCAAGTACTCGGGATCCGGAGGGGATCGGGGACATCCCCAGGCGATCCCGATTCCACGGCAAATATGCCACCCCCAAAACCTCAAGGAATTGGGGTGGACCCCCGGGGTCCTTTCCCCTACCAGGAATAGCACGCCCGTAGGAGAAATCCAAAGGTCAAAAGGGAAGGGCAAAAGGGAGGGGGGGGAGGGGAGGGGAGGAGGAGGAAAGGAAAAAAGGGGGGGATGGGATAGGGGGGGGGAGAATGGGGGGTAATTAGGTTCGGTCTGAGGGGAAGACCGACAGGTTAATTCCTCAGAAACCCAAAAGCCTCTTCCCACGCCAAGGAGCCCCCCCTTTAAGAGGAAAACAATAAAAGAATATTGAAAATTTTTTTTTGGTTATCACAAAAACACAAATAATCAATAAATGAAAGGCCTACATCAATCTCATGATAAAAAATAAGTACATATCTTATATCTAACCCCCGTACACAGTTTCCCTACAATCCCCATACTCGCCCCTTTCCACAAGTCTTACGAGTTAGCCCAAAAATGAAAACCCCTAAGATTCGCACTCATCTACGGGGTTACACTTATATAAAAAGCAATTTAAAAAGCTCGGGACAAACCACAAAACCCCGTTTGCAGGGGAAAGCCTAAAAGGGTTTAAACAAGTTCTTCCAAAAAGAAAGAAGGAGTAGACTCTGAATAAGCTCTAAAACACATTATAACTGCACCACCAATCCTCCGCACAACCCCCTTACCTCAACCCCTTACACAGATAACCGCAACACAGCCCTTTTGCATACCCCCACCCGGAGCAGCCCGTTTCCCTTCCCTGAAAACTTTCAAAAACCCCCCCCTTCACCCCGTTAACAATGCTTCAACTCATACACGGGACCCTGCTGAAAAAGCCTGGTCCAGTGACTTCCCTTATTTCCGATTACAACAAACGTTCTTAAATGGTCCCCCCCAACACCCTTTTGCGCACCTCCCCCCCTCCCCATTCCCTCTCATCGCCCCGGATCAAAACAAAATCCCCAATTTTTTTTATGTGTTTTCACGTTGCACAGGCTCCTCAACGCCTCCCACGTCCAAACTTAACGCCCTCAATACTGATATCCCGCCTCCTCCCACTGTCCTCAGAACCTTACCCATCCATTCCCTGATACTCCCCAAATTATCACAAAAATACACTACATGAAACTCCGTCTCCTCATCCCCGCACACCCGACATGCGCCCTCCACCATCAACCCTCTTTCCTTAAGTGCAGCACCCGACGGCAGTATACCATGGAGAAAATGGAAAAATACCTCTCGCACATTTGGATGCACGCGCATCAACCGTAATCTCTCCCATATATCCTTCCACGCATACATAGGGTAGATACTCTCAGCCTTCGCGACTACCGTCGCCCTTACAACACGCTCTAAAACACCCACTTGAACTTTATTAGGATCCCGTACATGCAACAACGCCCGCAACACGTCTTCACACACCTTCATCTCCGACCCTCCCCACCACATTTGCACCTCTTCATGCAAGTCATTCACGCCCCTCCCCGCTTGACCCCGCACACGGCGTAACCCCCACTTCAAATAAATACACTTGACTCTTAACCATAAATCAATCAACCCCAATCCTCCTCTGTTGACCGGTAAAGTAACCACACTCCTACTCAACCATTCACACCCAGAACCCCGAAGAAAATGGAAAACCCTCTTTAACAGCCTCGTAACATCCGGACCTGCTAACGGATATACCGCAGCCATGTGCCAGACTTTACTGTATAACAACACATTCACAACAATCGCACGCTGATGTACTGTCAAATGAGTTGGTCTCAACCCATCCAAGCGTCCCACCACTCGATCCACAACAAGTGCAGAATTAACCATCCTAGCCTCTCTCGCACTACCCATATACACTATCCCACACACTTTTATCCTGTACACCATATTCCAACGTACATTCCATCCCCAACTCTCTCTTCCCACCCAATCTCCTAAAAACCAGTAATTTTGATGTTTCCACATTAACTCTTAAACCGGCAACCCCCGCGAAATTGTCAATAACATCTCCAACCGCACATAAACTCCTCAGCGTTCGCACGAGTATTGTCGTGTCATCCACGTACCCTATTATTCCCTGCTCTCCACTTCCTACTCCCCAATCCACCTCCATACACGCTTCCACCTTTCTATAGAAAGGGTCTGTTAAACAGGCAAACAACAATTGAGACAGGGGACAACCCTGCCTAATACCCCGACCCATGGATACCCACTTCCCCAACTTCCCATTTACTTGTACACACACTCCCACACCTGTATACAATGTCTCTGCCCAACGTACCACCTCCTCCTCAAAACCCTGCCTCCTTAATATATACCACAACACCTCACGTTCTACACTATCATACACTGCCTGCCAATCTAACGCTAAGACACCCCCCCCTACTCCCCTCCCGACCCTTCCACAAAATTCTTTATAATACTATGCCCGTCATACATTGTCCTCCCAGACACTCCATATTGTCCTCTCGCAATCACTATCCACCACACACTTTAGCCTATTTCCTAATATTTTCGCAAAAATCTTATAATCAGCACACAGCAATGATATTATCCTAAAGTCCCGCACCATGTCTTGTCGCTTACCTTTTGGCACTAAAACCACAACTGCAGTTCCTTGCAGCCTGCCCATCCTTCCCTCTCTTTTCATCGTGTTCATTAGTTCTACTAAAAAGGACTTCAACACATTCCAATGGCTCACATAAAACTTGCAGGGCAAGCCATCCAAACCAGGTGCCTTGCCTCGTGCCATCTCCTCTAAAGCCCTCCACACCTCCCCTTCTTCAATATCCCCCCCAATGCCATGCGATCACTGCCACTTAGCACACTAGATACGTTCTCTCCCAACCCCCGGAAAGCCCTCACATCCACCCGTACACTCAGTAAATTTCTGCCAAACCACCTATCCACGTAATCACTCATCGCCTCCTTTGTTCGAAACTCCTGTCCCGCCCTATATCCACCTAAGTCCTCATGTACCACCAGTCTATCAATTTCCATAGCCATACGCCGCTGCCTCTGTCCCCGTAACACACAGGCCGATGGGCGATCACCCCACACCGCCTCTTCAAATCCACCCTGCACTCTCACCACATCAAATCTGTCATTCTGTAAATCACGAATCCTCCCTTTTAACAACTCGATTTCCTCCATGGGGTACTGCCCTGCCTGCACGCCCCTCTCACAACAACCTTGCAACCTACCCTCGAAATACTGCTGCAACCCGTGTGTCATCCAACCCTGGTACTTTCCCCACTGCACATAAAACCGCCGGATCCTCTCCTTAGCTACCCCATCCCACCACCCCAGCAAGTCACCCACATCCCTACCCTCTCCCCACATATTCTCCCACATTGTCCTAAAATCTAACCCCGCCTCCTCCACCCCAAGAAGGCTCACATTTAACTTCCAATACCCTGGATACCTCTTAGGTAAGCTGGCCCAAGTCAAGTCCATATAAACAGCTCTATGATCCGTGTATACAGCATCTACTGTACACACGCACACCACCCTCACACTTCTCATCACATATAACCTATCTAGCCTAACCGCATAACCCTGTCTATGAAACGTATGCTCAACCATCAGGTCCCCATCTCCATTAACATCCCTTAACCCCACTCCCAGCAAAAGATCCCTTAGGCTAACCAAAAAACACCCTGCCTCCCCATGGTTCCACATCCTTTCTTCTTACAATTCCAATCACCGCCTACGATTGTTACCAAAGGAAGAGATTGCAAATAATAAATCAAAACATCACGCACAAATTCATTCTTCACCCGCACATCACGCTCTGCCGATGCATACACACAAACCACCTCCAGCTGCTCACCTCTCCACCATCCATCCACCCGGAGTACCCTACCCTCCTCCCCTCCCTCACATCTAATCACAACAAACGGGCTCGTCTCCCGAATCAGGGTCCCAACCCCACCTTTCAAACGGTCCGAAAATGCCACAAACACACGATATCCATCCACATTCAAATCCCGACCCGCCTTAAAGTTATGCTCCTGCACGAATACAATATCTATGGCATGACGCCTCAAAAACCCCTGGAGCCACAAACGCTTCACATTCACACACAACCCATTTACATTCACAGTCATACACCTGAAACCTTCTTGAAGGGTTTTACATGCTGCCCTGTAATTTCCTTTCTTTAGACACATCACCAGCCTTCCTATTTTCCCACCACCGCTCACCACAGTGGCGCTATTCCCCCCCCGGTCGAACACCTGACCGGACACCCCTGTGGCGCCTCCACTCACCACGTCGGCCCACGGTTTTCTTCCTGGCCTCTGCGCCATGGCCAGACATCATCGGAATCAGATGCGTTGCCGCCCTCTTCCGCCGAAACACATCTGAAATCCATGGTCTGGTCGGGGGATGCCCTCATTATGCACCTCCGCCACCACCTCGATCACGGTCACCACCCCCGTAGAAGTGGCACCTGCAGTCAGCTGGCTGTCTCTCCTCTCGTCCCTCACTCTCCTTGGCCCTTTACCACCGTTTGGGTACATCCCGGGCCTTTTTCGTCTCCAAAAACCTTTCCGTCAACTGCTCTAAAGCCACATCCTTCGCTCGTTCTCCTCCCCTCAGCTTGGTTCCCCTTCCACCAAAGCAGAGACGTAGAGCCTTTCAGGCATTGATGGGCTCGACCCCAAACCGTCGGAAATCTCCACCTCCTCGTTCCAAGAAGAAAATATGGCCCTGTACAGGCGTCCCGCTGGCAGGCCCCGCCTTTGGGTCAGGCCCTCGCTCCGTCCTTCTGTCTGCATCCTGTCGTCGCTGGGTGCCTCTCCCACTGTGCTGACCCTATGGTCATAAGCGCCACATAGCCTGCAAGTCTTGCGCTGCCCTGCATAATACACCATCACTTGCGTCCGGAAGTCGTCCAGGATGACAAACAATGGGATGGGATGCCTCAGCATCATCTTTAGGTTGAACATACCCTCCGGCCAGCCGGCGTACGCCCCATCCACCCAGGTACCTGCCGTTGCCAGATGCACAGTACCGTAACGTTCAAAAACGTTCCGTATGTCTGCCTCGTCAGCTTCGAAAGGCACGTTACGTACCTTCACCCAAGTGTAGTGTCGCGACACATCAATTAAACGAACTCGTATTGCCGAGTTTACATCCACACAGCCATCTTGATAATGCTCCACCAGGCGTTCATACACTGCCATCGATCGTAGCTTAACAAATATTCGGTAAGCTCTGTTGAGCGATACTCCATACAAATCTTGATCAGCAATGCCGTATGTGTCGCAAATAATCAAAGGTAGAAGCACCTGTGCGGACTGAGGCGGAACTACACCCCGCACTAAATCAAAGCACACAGTGTTGACTCACCTTCTTGTAGTCTGCGCCATCTTGTGAAAATCAATCTGCGCAGGAAGGCCTCTCAACCAGGAGCGTGTGCGCAGCACAACCTCACGGCCCTAAAGCGATGAGGTCAATGATTCATTACAGTTGTGACCGCGTGTAGACGTTTGAGTTGTTCATTACTTTATAATCTGTTCATAACTGAAGGTGAGATCTTCTGACATTATCACTCCCAGGTCTTTTACATTAGTTTTTCGTTCTAATGTGTGGTTGGAATTTGTTTTATACTATGATATAGTTTTAATTTCCTCACGTTTTCTCATCATTGAACTTCATATTGTTTTCTGTGGTCCATTTAAAGATTTGGTTGATGTCTGCCTGGAGTCTTGCAGTGCCCTCAATGGAGGACCACTCATGTAAATTCGGGTATCATCTGCAAAAGAAGACCCCGTGCTGTAGCTCACTAAACCCACAAGAGATGCCAAATACGTTAAGCTCAACATCAAGGAGAGAGTTTTCAACACGAGTCCATGGACATTGTTCATTAGAATTACGAATGTGAAAACGAGTGTCTTTGGGCTAGTGTCCAGCCCCTTTCATATATTTATTTATTTATTTATTTACAATTTGAGCACACATACAGAGGTACAAAAAAATACAGATAAGAGCAGCATGCCAAAGCCACTTATACTATGCATAGCATTACGGGCTGGCTTAAAATTAACTTAAGATTAACTAAGCAATGATGAAATCAGTGATAAAACATTAATGTAAACAGATTACTATAAAGCACAAGTGAGTATTACAAAGACAGGTCATATAGTTGCATGCATTGTTGTACATTCAGTAGAATGGAGTATTCTGTTAGGTAGTGTATTTAAAAAATAATAAAGTTAGATTGGGTTTTAGGTTTAAAATTTATGTGATATAATTGTGAGAAACATTTAAGATATACAATTTATAAGGTTCAGTTATTCAGTATTTATTTGGTTTTGGGTGAGTAAGTGATCTTTGAGAAGAGACTTGAATTTATAAACAGGTAGTGTTTCTTTTATATTTACAGGTAATGAATTTCAGATTTTAGGGCCTTTTATGTGCATTGAGTTTTTGCATAGCGTGAGATGGACACGAGGAACATCAAAGAGTGATCTGTGCCTTGTGTTATGGTCATGTGTTCTGTTGAGGTTGGCAAGGAGATGTTTGAGGGAGGGTTAATATCAGAGTTAAGTGTTCTATGTATGTAATAGGTGCAGTAATAAGTATGGATGTTTTGTATGGTGAGTAGGTTGAGTGTATTGAATATTGGTGGAGTGTGCTGCCTGTAGTGAGAATTTGTTATCATTCTAACTGCAGCCTTTTGTTGGGTAATTAGTGGTCTGAGATGGTTACTTGTTGTTGAGCCCCATGCACAAATTCCATAGGTGAGATAGGGGTAAATAAGAGAGTGATATAGGGCCAGGAGGGCTGACTGTGGAGCATAGTACCGTATCTTCGATAGTATGCCTACAGTCTTGGAAATTTTCTTAGAAATTTGTTGTATATGTGTATGAAATTTGAGTCTATTATCAAGGTGGATTCCTAAGAATCAAGGTTCAAGCCAAGTTACCACACAGTAACAAGACTGTTGGTCCTTTAGTAATTACCAAGTGACAACCATCCCCCATCCCCATCACCCTCCCACCAGCAGCCAACCCCCGACCCTTCCCCTAACGACCTTCCCCTCCCCACAAACAACCACTGACGTCATCACCCCCCCTCCTCCAGGTCAATGGCGCCATTTAGCCATGGAGGTCAAGAATAGTGGCGCCACTGGTCATTCCTCTGCCATCCACTACACCATCACCACCTCCAGCTCTTCCAGTTCCATCAACCCGTGGTAATTAAGAAAAAAAAACATGGTAATTTTTGACAGATCGGCTTTGAAAACATTTCAGCACTTCTTTCTACACAATATTGAAGGAATCATTGTAAATACATAGACTTCAAACCATTTCTTACTGCAGTTCATGAATAATTAGTAATGTTCATACTTTCATCTTTGCAGACATTATTTTGGCGTGTTGCTGCTGGTGATGACATCTCTGAAGGCTTGCAGCTGCCCACAACTTGGAGAATATCTTCAACCTGCAAGATTCGATAAACTTCTTTAATTAAATTTAATAATATTAAATAAATTGTCTTTCTTTATCTCAGCAAAGAAATGTTCAAGGAACAAATGAAATAGAAAAAGCAAACAACTTTGCGACAAGCCTCAATTGCTGAATTGGTCAGCAGGAGGCAACATTCACATTCGGGGTTTTCCCGGGAAAAAAAAAAAAATATAACCTCCCCCAACCCTACTAATAATAATAGTAATGGGCGGCCGCCTCAATATCCCATTATTAGTAGTTTGGGTATGATATTTTTTTAAATTTTCATACCTTGTGTTTGCAAAAGGTAGTGTTTGCGACAGTTGTACTGCTGCTGCGCACGCATAAGTGTTCGTCCGCCCAGTGTTTTAAAAGGGTCTTTGAAAAACCGCCGCAGAAACCCGATCACCCCTTTTCTCCAATTTAAAATTTAACCTCCAAATCCAAAAAATACTCAAACCTAGTGTTTACTAAGGGATATTTTAAATAGCTTTTAAGTATAAATTTTAAGTCAAATTGCATACTATCCTCTGAATCAAAACCCGACTGACTTTCGACCCGTCCCCCGAGAGTTTTCCGCCCCCCCCCCCCCCCCCCCATTCAATTTTTTTTACGTAAGTGCACATTGGGAAAAACTATTATTTCCCCCGTGGTTAAACCCCCAAGGATAATAATTAGGGAAAGTTAGGGAATCAGATTTTATCCAAAAAAAGGAAGGGGAGGTACTTGCAATTGCATCAAAAATTCCTTTAAGTACAAAGGCACCCTTTTTTGAAGGGCATCCAAAATTTTTAAAATAAGGTTGGTTTAGGATGATTTAAACAAATAGTATTTCCCCACATTTTCCCTGTCCCCCATAACCCCTTTGGCTAACACCAACACTTATTAAACAGTTGGAGGCCTGCCGTATACGGTCCCTGGTTTTGAAAGACAGTAACAAACACTAAAAATATTTTTTTAGAAAAGTTTCGGTCCTGGGGCCTTGATACTTTAACATACAGAGGTAAAAAGAATTATATTATATATATAAAAATATATATATAGGCGGGGGTGAATTTTGCGCACGGGGACCTAGGAATGTATAAGAACAAAGAAGGGGAACATGTAAAAAGGCCCAGGCCCCGCGAGGAGGCTTATCAAAACAACCTCTGCCTTTTGGGACGGGTAGACTAGAATTTTGTGACTCCGTGTTGTTGGGTTGGTGCTGTTAAGTATATGTATGCCAATGTTTTTGAAATTTTGTAGTTTCCAGTGTTGCGTTTTATATTCGGTGACGGGATTTTGAGCTTCTGGCACCGCGGGCTGAGGCGGTTCGGGGAGAACGGTTGGCCTCGTTCCATTTTCAAATGCCCCGGGAGTCTCTGTGGAGGGCACAGGCTACCCCTTTCATCGTCTCTGTTAGAGCCCTAAAAAGACGTGTAAGGTACGCCTGTGTCCTCCCAAAACTCCCGGGGCTTTTATGTCGGCGAGGGCCAATCGTTCCACGAACCAGACCTCAGACGCGCGGTGCCCTAGAAGCCTCACTAATCACCGTCACCCACACTATAGAACGCAACACTGGAAACTACAAAATTTCAAAAACATTGCCATACATGATACTTAAGCAGCACCAACCCAACAACACAGGAGTCACATGATTTCATAATCTACCCGTCCTCATCATAGGCAGAGGTTTTGATAAGGACCTGCCTCGCATGGGCCAGTGGGCCTTCTACAGTGTTCCTCCATTCTTATGTTCTTATGACATTCCTCAGGTCACGTGCGTCACATCTCACTCTCCGCCTATATATATAATGTCTTTCTACCTCTGTATGTTAGAAGTGAAAAAGGTCCCAGGACCGAAACGTTTTCTAATAAATATGTTATAGTGTTTGCTTACGTGTCTTTCTAAACCAACTTGTCGGTATTTATTACCAAGGTTTATACCACTGGTCTCCTAACCTGAATTCATAACCTACCTCACCTGCCAGTTATGGCTGGCATCCTAGGCATAACCTTGAGGACCACTACACTCAAGCCCCTACACACACTACCTCTTTTTCTGGGTTTATAGCCCAGCAGGGTTAATAATCCTATTCTCACTAATACCAATCTAAATCACTCCCACCCCCAAACTATACTCATCAGCATCATATGTAAGTGAATCCTTTCTACCGACTAACACTTCAGATCACAGAGATTTATCATCTTTAACGTCTGCTGTCATAAGCGTTAGACTTCACTATCACACCAACTGCAATTCTGAACGTTAATACTTTTATATTCATAAGAACCTGAACGCCGCTTAAATTTTCCAAAATGATGAAATTGCGTAAACTCGTTGAGTCAATATTTAACTTTGCACAGTTTGGCCCAAGGCATAAAATACGTAGAACACCCACCGCAACCACTACCCAAAGCCTGAAACCCACCAACATCCCCACAGAAACCACGTGCAATAACAGATTGCACACAGCTTCTGAAGGTCGTTGGTGGGTTCCAAGGCCCACAGTTCTACGTAATCTATGCCTTCGGGGGAGATTACTCTCCCCTGCTATATGCATTCATAATGCATATAGCAGATTCTCCAGTTCTATATCTTACCTATCCTACGTAACACCACCTAACTATGCAGCATACTCCAGGTATAGGCCTACTAATTTGCAGAGCAGTGGCGGCGCAAGGGGGGACGAAGGGAGGTAAAGGAAAAATCAAGGTGTTTAGATGAAATCAAGGGGGTCTAGGTAAGATCACTACGAAGTCTCTGTAAATATATACTGTATAACCAATTTAAAAAATGCCCCCCCCCCCAATACGCTCTAATACAGACTAGAGTCGTAAGCGCTAAACCCACAAGGATATACTACTGAAAAGATTTTCTGGACTTCAAAGCTTAAAATTACTTGGCCAGGCTCTCTACAGCCCTACTGAGAATACGAAGATGTGGTTAATTCCACATTTCTGAGGAACTGTTGATTTTTCCAGCTATAATACATTCTGCCTAAGGAAAATTTATCTCATGTGAAGCTAAAACTTTGGCTGTGTAAGTTTTAAAAATAGGTTAGACAAATGAGTGGTGGAGAGTGGGACCTCCCTAACATGGGCCAATAGGCCTGCTTCAGTGTTCATTTCTTATGCTTCAGTGCTCCTTTCATGTCTTAATAATGGAGATGCCTGATTTAATAGGCTTTCCTTAAACCTGGCATCAAGACTTCTACCATTACTCTCACCACACTAAACTATCTCAGTGTAATTATTAACCCGGTATATTAACACAATTACACAATTAAGTCAGGATGACATCTATGACATTTTTATTAGGGTATTTATACTCTCCCAGGATGCGACCCCTACCAGTAGGCCTGCTGCAGTGTTCCTCCTTTATTATGTGAAGCGCCAATAGATATAAGGGAACATGCCCACTTGTGCCCGGGATCGAATCCCGGTTCTTCAGTTGACGTGGGCCACTACCAACTGAGCCATGATATATCACTTACACATTTCATCTCTGCTTCCTACAATCTTGCAGGATGGATAGACTATTACACTAACTAAAACTTCCTCAAATCTAATCAGTCTTGAATTCTAAGCTTTACAACCCATTTCTCCAATTTTTATTTCCACCCCATTCAAGGTAACCTATAGATTACATTCCTCTATTTCCTGGCCAAAGATTTCATCTCTGGTCGGGAGATAAGCTAATATTTCCCACTAAGCTACTTTTGATATCAACTGCTTACAATCTTTTCTATACTCTCCCCACCACCTTCCCACCTAATATAATTATCTGCTTCAATAACCAAACTTTAGTGGACTTATAACCTGGAAATACCTTACAAATGCTCCCTGCCCACCTCTAACGACGTCTCCAACTGCTGCAGCTCCATATAACAGTAAATGTTATGAGTCAGACCATTTACTAGTGTGGTTGTCTCCACCCTTCAGACTGGTCAATGTTGCCGTGTTGATCAACGTTGCAGCACACACAGCCAGGCACATCACTCCTCAGTTACAACACCTGAAACAAAACACATTCTCATTATCACCATGAACATTACACACATTTATAGGCAAACATTACCATGTAACAAACTAGTAACATTACTGATATACCTATTAATGTTTAACATAGTAAGGCTATCTCTTTAATAAATATTTCTTTCACATAGACCTGATGACTAACAATTTGTTTACATAGAAGTCTATATCTGGATCAAAAGGCGCAAGTTCCTTGGATCAAGAGCCTTCACTAAATTTTTCAATAACGGGAAAAAATAGCCCAAACTGGATACACGATTATGGGTTATGTAACGCCTAGTGTGAGAGTTATTGTTCGATCAGAGGAAAGGGTGTAGCTCCAGTTCCTCGCATCAAAAACCCCTCCACTAAGGTCGATCACCCCCTGCTCCCCCCCCAGACATTAGACTCTAAGAAAATTAAGACTATTAAAATATTAACAATTTGGTGACCAAGCTGGCGGTGGGGGACCAGGAGCTGCAGCTCAACTCTGCTGTTGTACTGACAAATACGTCACCAGACAATACTTACGTTATTTGTGTATTAAAAGGATGAGGAAGCGGTAAAGCCGGCGGGGGGAGGCAAGAGGAAGAGCAACACGTCTCCTCTGTACGACCATTGAAGTTCAACTGACCTTTAGTGCCCTTGAGGTTGGTCACTGTCCTGACCTTTACTATAACACCATCACATCATCACTGATAACCTGACTAACTCTGACTACCACCACTAGATGGCACTACTACACCACCACTAAATGGCACTACTACACCCTATCAGTACTACTCATGGTGGAACGCTCAACCCGTGGGGGTCATGGACCACCTGGGAGGATAAGTTCATTCCCAGGTGGCATAGATTACATTCCTTGGATGTGATCTATGCCATACCACCTTCCAGGAACCTGTCTCAAGGCCATCACTCACCACCAGAGGCGCTCAACTCCACTACAATTGTACCACTAGTACTCTACACGAGTCTACCTGGAGACGGTTTCGGAGGTCAACGCCCCCGCGGCCCGGTCTGTGACCAGGCCTCATGGTGGATCAGGGCCTGATCAACCACGCTGTTACTGTTGGCTACACACAGAGGGAGATTATTGTACTACTAGTACTCTACATGAGGGGAGACTGTTGCACCACTAGCATTCTACATGAAGGGCAGATTTTATAAGGTTATAAAAGGCTCCATCCTGTCACTTCAACTCCATATTGTTTCAGACTATGGAACAATACTCTTCTCCAGACTGAGGGACTGACCACCTCAAAACTTCAAGGGTGATGGACTGATTACATCGTCTTCAAGTATCTTCTGCTTCTATCAACTTTTCTGTACTCGACTGAAGAAGCCTACTGTGTAGGCGAAACGTTTCGAAATAAAGATACCTAACTGTTGCATATGTGTCTTACCTAACAACCTGTCGGTATTTTATACCATTTTAATGTTCACTAGTATTCTACATGAAGGGCAGATTATTTTACCACTAGTACTCTACATGAAGGGCAGATTATTTTACCACTAGTATTCTACATGAAGGGCAGATTATTTTACCACTAGTATTCTACATGAAGGGCAGATTATTTTACCACTAGTACTCTACATGAAGGGCAGATTATTTTACCACTAGTATTCTACATGAAGGGCAGATTATTTTACCACTAGTACTCTACATGAAGGGCAGATTATTTTACCACTAGTACTCTACATGAAGGGCAGATTATTTTACCACTAGTACTCTACATGAAGGGCAGATTATTTTACCACTAGTACTCTACATGGAGGAGAGTTTATTTTCCCAAGTACTTACATGAAGGGCGTTTTTTCCCAATACTTAATAAAGGGCGATTATTTTACCATGGGTACTTACATGGGGAAGATTTTTTTACCATAGTACTCTACATGAAGGGCGATTTTTTCCCCCCCTAGTATTCAATGAAGGCGTTATTTTACACTAGTATTCTAATGGGGGCAGTTATTTTACCATAGTTTTTCATAAAGGGAAGATTTTTTTACCAAAGTTGTGTTCTCTCCCCCAGGCCCGGTGGCCTGGTGGCTAAAGCTCCCGCTTCACACACGGAGGGCCCGGGTTCGATTGCCGGCGGGTGGATACATTCGACATGTTTCCTTACACCTGTTGCCCTGTTCACCTGCAGCAAAGGGTTACCGGGGTGTTAGTCGACTGGTGTGGGTGCCCTGGGGGACAAGTTTAAAGGACCCAATGGAAATAAGTTAGCAGCCCTCGAGAGCCTGCTTTCTTGGGTTACCCTGGGTGGCTAACCTCGGGGTTTAAAAAAACCCAAACGAAATTTATCTTCTATGTTTGCTTTGGTTCCCGCCTTTGACAAAATTGGCGCAAGATTTCTGGACACTGTGAGCAGTTTTATAAAATTAATTTAACTTCTGTTTTACTTGTCTTCAACATTCAACTATCCAACTGTTGAATTTATCGGGGCTACATGCTCTCCTGGATCCAGGCCCAGGAAAATTTTACCTTTTGTTCTGGGTGTTTTTAGTCAATTTTTGTTTTTTGTCAGGCAGGTCCCCGGAAGAGCAAGATTTAGTCCATTGATATTGTACAAGACTAGACACAGGGTCTTGGTTTAACCAAAATAAAAAAGGGATTTTTTTTTCCTTTGGGGTCCTTGCTTTTTTGCCGAAATTATGCACTCTGGGCTTTTTTTGTTTTAACAATATTTTACTAACGTAAATGAGGTGTCTCTGCCCCCATTATGTATCTAATAAAATTTTAAACGTATGAAGGGTTATTACCTTTGTAACTTTTTCAGCTTTTCAAAAACTTTGAGGCCCGTCCCGGGGGACCCATTAAGTCCCTCGGAAAATTCTTTTTGACTCCGTCATAAAAAAAATATTAAACTGAATAATACTGCAGAAAAAGTTTGTACACTATGAAGTTTAAATAGGGGAAAATGTCAAAATTTAATTTGGTTTCTCAAACAGGATTTTTAAAAAAATATTTTAAGAAAAAAAGTAAAAAACATTTTGAGGAAAGTAAAAAACAGTACAAATGGGAAAACTAGCAGATCAAAAATACGTTTTTAAACCTCAATGAAAATAAATCCTGACTTTTTTTTTGTTATTCTAGCAATTTGCAACGTAGAAATTATACTTTTGTGTCCCGTCCCGCCTTAATAAAATTACTAATCCTGCCAATAATGTGGGGTGTATTCTAGGTCCCCGATTTTTTGTTATTTAAATGACAGGAGTAGGTAGTAGGTTGGGGAGAGCAACCACCCGGGATATACCCCTCCGCCAATGACGGTGAAACAAAAACCCGTAAATGTTTTGTGATGGTAGGATTGTGGTTTCTTTTTCTGTCTCATAAAAACCCCTGATAACAGGGGTATCTTGCTATCCTACTTACACTTTGGGCACACTTCCAGCAGCAATGTATAATATACATACATCTAGGTTTTTCTCCTTTTTCTAAATAGCTTTGTTCTTTTTATTTCTTTATTGCCATGGGGAAGTGGAAAAGAATCTTTCCTCCGTAACCTGCGTGTCGTTGAGGCGACTAAAATGCGGGAGCAATGGGCTAGTAACCCCCTTTCCTGTAGCATTTTACTAAAAAAGAGAAGACGAAAAAAATTTTAAAACTGGGGGCTTAAATGTGCGGGATGTAGTGCGGAGACAAAAAAACAGATATTGCTGTGTTATGAATGAAAAAAAGTTGGATGTCCCGGCCCTAAGCGAAAAAAGCGAAGGGGGTAGGAGAGTTTCAGTGGGGGGAAAAAATGGGATTAAATCGGGGGTATCTGAGGAGGGTTTGAGCAAAAAGGAAGGGGTGCAGTAAGTTTAAAAGATCAGTTAGGAAGGAGAAAAGAGAAATTTTAAAGTGTAAAACAAGAATTATGTGATTTTAAAATAAAGGTTTGGGTGCGAGAAGTGGGGCTAAAAAGGGTGTATGCACCCGGGGAAGAGAGGAATCAGAGGAGAGAGAGAGATTTGGGAGATGTTAAGTGAAAAGTTAGGACCCTTTTAACCCAAGTGAGAGGTAATTTTGGGGAGGGGGGTGAAGCTTAAGTAGGAGAAACTTTTAGAGAGGGTGTGGGAGGTAAGTTTGGGGGCCAAAGGTGTAAATGATAAAGGGGCCCTTTTATTGAACTTTTATGAAAGGGGTTTTTTTATAGGTAAAACTATTTTTTAAAAAAAAGAGGATAAATAAGTATAAAGATATGTTTTGGGCGAAATGCAGTAGTTTGTTGGATTAGTATTGGGAGATAAAAATTGTTGAGTAGACTTCAGGGTGTACAGTTTATAAAGGGGGCCACAGATTTTCAGATCACTTTCTAGTTGTAGCTCATGAGGTAAAAGGTAGTGGGTACAAGGAGAATAGAAGCATCAGGGAAGAGGGAGGTGAAGGTTTTTAAACTAAAAGAGGAGGCAGTTGGGGAAAATTAAACCTATTGGAGGATAGAGGGCTAATGAGAGCTAGGCAAAGGGGTCGAAAAGGTATGGGGTGGTTTAAAAATGTAGTGTTAGAGTGGTTTAGCAGAAGTTGTGGTTACAGGGAAAAATGGGTGCGGAGGGAAGGGAAAAGCGATTGGGGAATGTGATGTAAGGGGGTAGTAAGGGAGAAAAAGTTACATTGAGAAGTTTTAAAAAGTAGAAGTGATGAAAGGAGGGAAGAGTATAGGGAGAAAAAAGGGGGAGGGGGTTTGAGAGGGGGTGAAGCAATGTAAAAAAAGAGAAATGAGGAGTGGGTGAGTGTTATCAAAAAAATTTTTAAAAATAAGAAAAAGTTTTGGAGTGAGATAAAAGTTAAAAAACCCTAGAAAAAAAATGGATTTGTCAGTTAAAAATAGGAGAGGAGAGTTATTAAATGGGATTTAGGGTATTGGGAATTTGGGGGGATATTTTGAGGAATTTTTAAATTTTGATGAAGATAGGGAAAGCTGTGATTTCGTGTTAGGGAAGGGGGAATAACATTTTGTAGGAGTGGGAAGAGCGTTGGATTTGGGGAAGTTCGTGAGGCAGTGGGTTTAAATAAAGGGGGGGAAAAGGCAGCCGGGTTGATGGGAAAAAGATAGAATTTTAAAAAGAGGTGGGGGGAATTAGTTTTGGGAGTGCTTGGTGCAATTATTTAATAAATGTTGGAAGGGGTGGTACCTAGGGTTGGAGAGAGCATGCATGTTCCTTTGTATAAGGAAAAGGGGGAAAAAAAAGAGAGTGCAAAAATTTAGGGGATAAGTCTGTTGAGTATACGGGAAAAGTGATGGTAGATTTATAATTGAAAGAATTAAGAGTAGGGGAATAGGATAGCGATGAACAAAGGGGGTTTGGAAAGGTAGGGGTGTGTGGACAGGTGTTTACAGGAAACATATAAGTGAACGTATTTAGATAAGGCCCAAAGAGGGCTTTGGGCATTTATGGTTTGGAAAAAGGGATGACAGGGGGATAGGGGGGCAATGTGGCAGTGTTGCAAGTGTATGGGTAGGCATGTAGGAGGTAGGTTATGAAAGCGTGAAGGTTTTTTGAGGATAGTGAGGCTCAAGTTAGGTTGTAGGAAAGAGGGAAAATTTTTTTCCCGTAAAAGTAGGGCTTAGAAAGGATGGTGATGTCACCCTGGTTGTTTAAAAGTATTTTTTAGATGGGGTTGTAAAGAAGTAAAGCGG